GACTATTCTCCTTAGCTCATTGAAGTCTGCCCTTCTGAAATCTAGGGCTGCTGCCTTGCTGTAGGCCTTTGCCACTGGATGGTGAATTCCAGCAGGCAATGATCGCTGTCGCCCAGGTGGTCGAGCACCTGCAGCCCCCTCACCAGGTCAATGCCGGTGGCCAGCACCAGGTCCAACAAGGCATCTACCCTGGTGGGGCTGTACTAGTTCAGGGTAACAGGACTAGCAGCTTCCTAAGGGCCTTGTTATACGGTAACTTTAGGTGGCTTCTGGAGTTCTGAACCCTAGACTGGCTGCATGTTAACACTTTTCTAAAGGACACATTATTCAGCTTAATTTTACAACACTCCAGGGCAATATTATCGTTAATGCTACACTTGTTTCATTAACTTAGGGCCACTCTCCACGTTGAAGTCCTCCAGCACCCCAGGAGGTAGTGGGCAAGTGGGGAAGCTGGGGCTCAGTGCCTCACCATGAGCAGAGTAAGTCAGTCCAAGCCAAGGGCACCCCCTCCCCACCACCACACTCACCAGCTCTACTCCCGGCTCAGCTCTGGGAGTACAGCTATCCAGTCTGAATGGGGGCTGAGGGGGAGGAAACATACTGCCTCCTTTGATGCGAGGACAGTTGGCTTTGCTCCTGGAGCTGAGCTGGGAGCAGAGCCATTGTTAGCACCAGCAAGAAGCTGGTGCTGCCTCGCCCACTCGGACTGGATGGCTCTGCTCTGGGAATTGAGCCAGGAGCAGAGCCAGTGAGAGCGGTGGTGCCTACCCAGGTCGGACTGGCTCACTAGAGCTAGGAGCAGAGCCAGTCCAAGGGACAGCAGGAGGCACTGGGGCTGCGGTACTCATTCTGCATGGCAGAAGCAGTAAGACTGTCCTTCCCCTAGCTCCTACTCCTGCCTCTGTTCGCCAGGCATCTAGTAGCTAGTCACAGTTGTACAGGTGGGGGGCAGTCAGAGCAGGTTTTTTGCCTTACCGTATGACTACTTCACTAAGTTGATTAACATCTGTTTGGCTTACAGGGTAAGGTCTGACAAGGCCCTAAGAGACACATGTATTTATTAAAAAGAAAGAGACAAAGACAACAAAGGTTAATTAAAAGAAAGTAATTTCTTGAGGGTCTCACAATACTATGTGGAAAAAAAAACCCTGAACATCTCTGTACAAGCTATTAGCAAAGAGTAGTGAAAGATATATAAAAAAACAGAAGAGAGAAGAGGAAAAAATAAACCAAGTAGGAAGATTAAAAAAGGAAGAATTAAAAATTTCTTCTACATGTTCCAAGTATGGTTTAGTAGACCCAAACTGATGTTAAACTTTGCTTGAAAGCACAACCGTCTGGATAATATTATGCCACTTCCCTGGCAGGCAAGTTTCTTTGGGTAGATGTAATATCTTTTTAGACAAACTATGTAGCTGGAAAAAAGTTCTTCTAATAAAAGATATCATTATCTACCCAAAAAACCTTGCCTGCCCAGGTCCTTAGTCCAACACAGACAACATCAACAACCTGCCACTTCCCTATAAATTCCTGTAAGTTACCAGCTGTGTTATTACCAATTAATTTACCAATTCATTTCTTTCATCTGCTAAAAGGGTATTTCTGTCTTCCAGTTTCCGTATTACAGCATTCAGTTCAGCAATTTTTAGCTGAAATCTTCGCACATCTCGCTCATCCAAATGCTGCTCCTATAAGAAAAAAAACAAACTAAAAGAGGATTTTTCATTTTTCAGAAAGTTAATTTACTACCCAGAAATATAAACTTGGATCACAGTAGTTGAAGTTAACATTCTGTGTATGAACCTGAATGGGAAATACACAGAGAAATATTTCTGTGCATTTCTATCAACGATTTTAAAATATTCTTTAAATCATCACAATAACTGAAGCTATTTTATAAAGACATCACATATTTCTACAAAATAACAAATGTTAGTAACCAGAATAGTAATTCTTGGATCACTGTTAAATAAATAAATAAAGCTAAACTTGTATTGTTTAAAAAGTCAGTCATTTATTACCATTATTTTAAGCCTCACACCAAGATTAATAAATACATGCTTCTAAAACACATTAGTGCATGTTTTTGAAGAGGATAAGTACTTACATGCTTAAATGTGCATTGTCATTGTATAAAATAGCTCATACTCAAATATATGTCTGAAGAAAACTAATAGTTTGTTACCATAACTGGAAAAACATACTTCTTCAGTTGTGAATAGCCTCAGATGTAAATCTTACTCTTTAGCTGAATTCTACATATTTACGTGTTTACAATTCAAGCGTTTAAAAGATTCTTTGAAATTCAGGAAGCTCATGGAATTTTAAACAAAGAAAAGAAAACAGAGCTATTTGTTACTATGAACATGTGACACAGAGCCATTATTGGTACCACAGTCCATTCGTATATCTGCGGAGTAGCCAGAGACGCAATGAAAGCAGCGAAAGTAGGTGTTCAATTTGAAGAACACTTGGTTAACTTACTGGACTGCCCATCATTTCAGTGATATCGCCTATTCCACCAGGAAGCTCTTTTTTGGGGCTGCTGTGGTACCGCTCTGCCTCCTTTACTTGGACAAGTTGTTCATCCAAAGCTTCTTTCTGAAGCAGCAGCTTTTGTGTATGGCCTGCCTGGACTCCAAGATCCTTTTCCAGAGCCAAAATCACTCTGTCTTTGCCTTTTATCTCATCCATCTGGAAAGGAATAAAAGAAAGTAGGAAGCTCTGTCACATCTTTAAGTATTTACAACAGACAGCAAACATACCCACCTGTCAAAAACCTCACTATATGTGGGGGGGAGGCAGGGTGGGAAGGGGGGCCGTGGAATGTCATATGTATTGTCTTGAGTAAGAAATACTCAAGGAAGCAGATGCAATAAAGTCTAGGAAAGTAAAAATGACCTTTATTTGAGGATATACAATTTCTGTGATTAAAAAAACCAAAACAAAACTCTCTTTTATTATATTACAGAAAAGCTTTCATTGGGAAGCAGAGGGCTAACAAAGCTCATGTACCACTTAATCCCACCTAAGCTTTGTGCTCAGGTGCAAGCGATACATCAACCTCATGTTGGCCTTCCACATATGTAGTGCTATCTCATGTCCGATTAATTTGTTCCACAGACACAATCCATTCATGTAAATTATCAGTGCTTAATCCAAATTTCCTCAACATTCAAGAAGCAAGTTGTATACTTGCTCCCTGGTCATAGGATTCAAATATGGATTATTCTTTGTACATCATGAAAAATAAAACACCTGTATTATCAGAGCACCCAGGGTGGATAAGACAGTACTTCAGGAGCCAAAGGATAAGAAAAGAAAAAAAAAGAAGCCATAAACATTTCGCTAAATCCCATCTACAGTTACCAAATTTGTTCTCAAATTTAAATACAGTACTGTCAGACAAATTGCTGTAGCTAGCACCGGGTGTGTTCCTCACAGCGTTGGTGTTAAACTGACTATGGTAACACTCCAAACACTTGGAGAAATAGCAATCTGCAGCAGTTACTATAGAAACAGGTTTCTAAACAAGTATGCTAACCGTGCACCGTATCTTTATTGGGAGTGTAGTGCAATTCTTTTTCCCTAGGGTAACTAATTTTCCTTGCTCCACCAACATAAGCCCCTGGGATTTCAGTTTTCATATTCATATGGAATATTAAGCCAAATTAAGAACCCATTAAGTTATACCATATGTATGATTTTCTTTACTAAAACCCTACATTAAGAAAACATTAACCTTTCAAAGTCAAGTGCTAAAACGTTATACAATTCCAGAATGAAGGTTGTCCTTGGAACTATATCTCAGTATCCTTGTGTGTCTGCATTATGGTACAGTTCTTTATTATGGTGACCACATACTATTTGCTTCCCTCTGGCTTCCTGCCTTATTGCATTCACAGGCTAAACAGTAAATGAAGTAAGGCTGTGTCAAGGATCAAGCTGGTGCAGAACGTTGATTGTCTCAAGCAAGTGGAGGCATGATCCATGGCATCAGCAAGGACAGACTTGTAGTTTACAAACTGCACTGGGTCCCAGGAGATCCAAATTTTATTAGCATCTCTGCCATATACTTCCTGTGTTCCTTGGGTCACTTATAGCCAGATCCCTGTTGACCTTGTAGGTCTCTTCTAGGTGGAATTTAGGCACCTAAATCACAAAAAAAAAAAAAAAAAAAAAAAAAAAAAAAAATCCTAAATTGACCCCTGCCCACTAGGTAAAAAACTATCTAGATTTTCTAGGTACCTCTATTTTGACCTGGGAATATCTCTGGTAACCTAGACTTCAGTTACTATGCATGCTCAGAAGCAATCCAAATTAGCTTCCGAGGGGCTTTACTCCTTAGTGTTTTATAGGAGTGTGCAAAACGGGCTGTATTCAATTCAGATTCAGCCCAAATTGGCGATAGCAATTTGATTTGTTCACTCAAATCGCTGTCCCAGATTCAATTTGGCCAAAGACGAATCTGAAGATTCAATGCCAATTCGGAGAATCACTTGATTCAGCCACAGACACAACTTCAAATGTTTTTTCTACATGCCTCAAGGTACCAGGCATGGCTCATGAGTGCTGTGATGGTGGAGTGGATGGAACATCCCACAGGAGCACTGGGGGGGGGGGGGGCATACTTGGCAGTGAAACCGGAAGCAGACTGGAAGTGCTTCTGGTCCACTTCTAGGTCTGCTGCCGAGCATGCTGGGGACTTCCCCGTGCTCCTCTGGGATGCTCTCTCCACCCCAGCATCTCAGCATTCATGAGCCACTGCTACTTTGAGGTATGTAGAAAAGAACAGTTAAAGCTGTGTCTAGGTCTGAATCACTGAATCTTTCCAAATCGAATCAGAGGGTTCTGATTCAATGGAGAGATATTAAAGCGTCTCCTGATTCAAATCTGGATTCAAAGATTTGGCCACTGCTTCAGGCTGAATCTTCACCGAATCGAATCAGTGACTGAAGTTTGCCCAGCCCTAGTGTCTAAGCTTGGTAGAGAGCTTAGATACTGTGGTACTAGAATGGTACTAGAGGAGCCTAAGGTATTTAAAGTGGGGACAAAGCACACCAAGTAACAGTGGAGCATCTGCACATGTGTTTTACTGTGAAGTTGACTAATTGGCTCCAAAGTAAAGTATCACAGTCTATACATGTGCAGATATTAGGCCACAGCAAACTAATTGCCTCCACAGATTTCATAGACATTAGGGCTGGAAGTGACCTCGGAAGATCAAGTCCAGCCCCCTGCCACAGGGGTAGGAAGTCAGCTGGGGTCAAAGGATCCCAGCAAGATAAACGTCCAAATGTTTCTTAAAGGAGTCCAGAGTAGGTGCTTACACTACCTCTGGAGGCAGTCTATTCCAGACCTTGGGGGCTTGGACAGTAAAGAAGTTTTTCCTTATGTCCAACCTGAAATGGTCTTGGAGAAGTTTGTGACTGTTTGACCTCTGAGAGAGTCCAGAGAAGAGCCACGCGCGTGATCAGAGGTCAGGAAAACAGACCTTACGACGACAGGTTGAGATGGGATAGACATTGCTTGTGCTTTCAGGATCACTCCCTTGAGGAGCAAACACTCATCCTGAACTCTCCTCCCCTTTGGGTCATGGTTCCTTAGGGCCTCATCAACAAGCCTCCTGAGTTTGTCGAAGTCAGCTTTCCTGAAATCGAGGACTTCTGCATTGCTGACTGATTTGCCAGCTTTACAGTGGATAGTGAAAGTGATCAGCTCATGGACACTGTCTCCCAGCTTCCCTTTGAACTTTAGGTTGCTGACTAGATCACCCCCCATTGCCAGTACCAGGTCGAGCAGTGCTTTGCCTCTTGTCGATCCATAGACTTCTTTAGTCAGATAGAGCTTGTCCACGCATGCGAGGAAGCTTTAGTCAGATTTGGCTGAGTGCTCTTCCCATGAGATGTCTGGGTAGTCGATGTCTCCCATGATAACCATGCACTGAGAGTGTGCAGCCACACCCAGTTCCTTGGCAAATTCCTGGTCTAGTTCTTGATCCTGATTAGCAGGTCTGTAGCAGACTCTTACCATTGTGTCCCCTGTGCCATGTTCACCATGGATTTTAACCCTGAGGGTCTCCAGTTGACCACTCTGGATGCCAAAGTCAGCTTGCAGGGACATGTAGCTTTCCTTGACAGAGAGGTACACACCCATCCTTTCTGTCTACACAATCTCTCCTGTACAAGGTATAGCCATCTATACTTGTGGCCCAGTCATACGTGGAGTCCCACCAGGTCTCTGTTATCCCTATGAAATTGTAGTCATTCTTGTTTAGCAGGAGGACCAGATCCTCCTGTTTATTCCCCAAGATCCTGGCACTGGTGTACAGGCATGTAAGGGTCCCATTGGAGGCCCTAGTCTTCCCTACACATTGTTCCAGGGCTGGGGCGGGGTGAGTTCCCTAGAGTGCCTTAGCCTGCTGGATTTGCAAAAGTTGCCCAGTGGGGTTGCTGTGGCAATAGTCCCCCACAACCCCCAGCGGGCTTAGTTTAAAGCCTGGCTGAGCAGGTCAGCCATTCTGGCTGAGAAGAGCCTCCTCCCCAGTGCAGTGAAGTGGATGCCATCTCTTCCCAGCAGACCACTGCCTCTCTCACCAAAGAGTGGACTGTGATCACGGAAACCAAAACCAAAGCCTTCACGATGACACCAGCGCCATAGTCTTTGGTTGACTACCTCAATCCTCCTCTCTCTCCTCAGCCCGTAACCCAAAACTGGGAGGATCAAGGAAAAAACCACCTGCACCCTAAGCCTCTCTCCCAAAGCCCTGTAGCCTCTCATGACCCAGCTGGGATTGCTCCAAGCCATGTCATTCATGCCCACGTGGATAAGGAGCATAGGGTAGTGGTCAGTGGGCCATATGAGCTTTGGGATCCTCTTAGCTACGTCCCAGATGTGGGCTCCCAGGAGGCAGACAACCTCCCGGTCTAAGGGGTCAGGGCAGCAGATTGAGCCCTCAGGAAGGAGTCTCTCACAACGACCACTCTATGTGTGGCCACAGGGAGAGCAGGGACGGTAGCTGTGAGTGGTCCTCCCTTGCCTGCAGGAGCTGGCAGCTCTTCAGGCTCTACTGTGGCTGCAAGAGGTTCATACCTGTTGCAAAGCTCCAGAGGGGAGGGGACCCCAGTGTAGCAGGCCTTCGGACTGTTGACGACCTTGGTCCAACCCCCTGGCTGGACATTGTGGGAGATCTTTGAGTCCTCCCTTGTCCTGGAAAGTCACCTTGGTCTACCCTCAGCCTCCAGGGAGCGAAGGGCCTGGCAGTAGGAGTCTATGTCATGCAGTCTCTGGACTGTGGCCTGGAGCTCCTCTATCTAGTGCCCCAGAGACTCCAAAGTGGAGCAAACCTCGCAAGGGGAGGTGGCCATGCTCCCAGTCCCATGTGCCTAGAATCATGCCAGGCAGCCCCCGCAGCCGAGGGCCAGAGGTTCCGCCTGCGTGGAGCTAGGAACCTATCATGGCTTCCGTCTGGGTGGAGACCTCAGAAGTGCCAGAGGGGAAGGTCTAAGACTCTGAAGGGACCCTTGGGGTGCAGCATGTGGCCATCCACATTGTGCTGCTGGTAGTCTGGCTACTGCTGTGACTACCTTCCCTAGGGCTCACTGGCAGGGCCTTGGGCCCTCCCGCTCGAACTCCTGTGCTAACTGTTGGGGACATTCCTATCTTATGGCAGAGTATTTTGCTACACCAAAATG